ATATATATATATATATATATATATATATATTTGTGTGAGTGTGTATATACGGTGATACATACACATAAGAAATAAGTACAACTGGATCACCTGCTCTTTGGCTGTTTGCTGTTTGTTCCAAAGAATCCAATTTCAAATCAGTTTTGGGTTTTGTACATTCTACTACAAGTTGTGGGTAACTAAATCAACTGTAGCAATATCTTCAAATCCTAACGAGTGGCTACACATTCTTTCTGTGTCTTAATTATTCAGTTGTTAATTATATTGACAACAAAACATGACCACTCCTTTTGTTTTCTTGCATTTGGAAACGGTATCTATCTCCCATTCTTGTTTCTTCTTTTTCACCCTTGTCATTCTTTGCTTGTTTTGGTTCAAATTTTTTCTAAAGTGCTGCGTAGATAGGTAGATGATCAGAACATAAGATTAATGGCTTCCGAAGCTGGTGAAATGGAAAAACCGATAGTGATTGATCATCATCAAGAACAACAGCAGCAGTGCCAGAAACAACAAGCTTTGAAGTGCCCACGATGTGATTCGTCAAACACTAAGTTTTGCTACTACAACAACTATAGTTTGTCACAGCCAAGGCATTTCTGTAAAGCTTGTAAGAGGTATTGGACCAGAGGTGGCACCTTGAGAAATGTTCCTGTGGGTGGTGGTTGCAGGAAAAACAAGAGAGTGTTCAAGATGCTACCGACAACGACTACTCATGCTCCTTCCAATTCACAACCAGTTGACAATAACCCTAACCCTAACTGTAAACCTAATTTTGATAACCATTCTTCTTTTTATGGGTTGGTGCCTCAAAACCATAATTATGAAAGGTTCAACTCTGGGTGTGATTTTTCTCAAGCTCAAATAAGTAATCTTGGATTTGGGTTCTCTTCTTTGAATCCTGGGGCTGTAGCCGCGTCAAATCATTCACAGAATTCATCGTTATTTCTATCAAGCTACCCGTCATCCGTGTTTGCTGGTTCTACTTCTAGCTCAAATAGTGTTCCTACCATGGCTTCTCTATTATTTTCAGGCTTCCAGCAACCACAACGATATATGGAATGGAATAACCATTTTGAGGGCCAGAACAATGATGATCAACTCGAAGCTATGGCCTCATCCGATCCAAATTCACTTATATGGAACACAACTAGCGGTGGTGGTGGTGGTGGCTGGTTTGATCCTACAAGCAATATTGATTCTTCAGTTGCTTCCTTGATCTAATTAAGCCCAAGAAATTAAAACCAAAGAAACGTTTTTCTTCTAATATTCTCCTTTTTCTTTTTTACTGGTCTCTTTTTTAACTTCTTTTGTTTCTACTGGATAAACTTTGATTTGTTTAATTTTGTTATTACCGGAAACTCCCTCTTAAAACATTTAGAAGATCATAGTGGATATCAGCCTTCAGTTTTTACAATCAAGATAAGAAGAAGAAGAACAAGAAGAAGAAGAAGAAGAAGAAGTTAATCTGTTCTACGACAGAAAAGGAAACTGGGTACGTACAATATCCAGTGAGTTTTATCTTCCTTCTTCTGTATATAAGTATCTCATATTCTCATGTATCGTTAAGCATTGAGTTTGGGGTGGTGAAGAGGGTGTAATTTGTTTATTTTCTCATTTTGTTTTGTTTTACGTTTTATTGGAAAGTATGAGTATACAGGTATACATGATAGTAGATGTTAGGTTTGTTGGAATTTATCACTTCTTTAGTGTGGTTACATGTTAGTTTTTTAGCTTTTATCTTCAAATTTCCATATATTTATATTTAATGTTCCTACTTATGAAGTAAATGAAATGAATTACGTCTTATTAGTATAAAGCAGTACATTCTAATAAGTAAAGGCACCGTTGCATCTCATTTGAGATATTACATATATATATATATATAGATATCTAATTATTGGCACTTATTTTAACATGCGATGAAGGGAGCATAATGCTCTTCGTATAAGGGAATTCATATTGACACGCATATGAAATAATCGTATTATGTGTTTTATTCCTTTCTAAGTAATAACACATTTCATGCTACTATATAACTAGCTCTTGGCACTCAATGAATTTTGAAAGTTGAATGAGATGACAAGTGTATTTGTTATTAATGGGATTAAATTCTACCATAATGATATATCATTTGGGAATTCAATCAATTTGAAGTTCATTTGGTATCTTCAATAAGAAAAAGAAAAGTTTTTAATTTTTAATTCTTAAATATATATTACAAATTATATTTTGTAATTTTCTATTTAACTTTTTAAAGTTCAGTGTAACATAAAAAAATTGTAGAGTTGTATAAAATAAATAAAAAAAGATACGACAACCATTGAACTCTATTGAGTTCCATGCATTGTCTATGCCTTTGGGATAAACATTAAACACAACCTGTAACGACGGGTAGTAATTACAAATTAAATAACCATGTGCAATACTTTATTCTGCATAGGCATATTTAACGATATCCATGCGCATGGTAATAATTTTATTATATCTAGTAGACTAGCATATGAAATATGATATATGTATATGTGATGAAAGTCTCATGTGAGCGTAACCTTTTCTGAAGAACTGCAAATTTTAATTCATGTTGTTTTAGTGTGTTTTTAATTATTTATACACAAATTATTAAAGGTATCCGGTTAAGAATTTCTTTTTAACATGATGCTTGTGCATGTATGTGTGACGTACATTAACCTATGTATGTGGTGTGCTCACGTGATCCCTAACAAAGAATCTGCAAATCTAGGAATATATCAAGATGGATTTAATTAATTTTTTAACTGTTACCTGGAATATAGTAGAGTATAATGGAAACTGAGTGCTGTCTTGGAAGCTTGCATGATGGAAGCTTTATGCACACTGCACTTGTAATCGGGTGGTACTGGTACACAGGTAACGTAGAAAAGGGAAGTTCTGCCAAAGTAGACACATTTTTGTGTTGAAAAACGTGCTCCTTGTATAAATTCATTTTAGATATATATATATATATATATATATATATATATATATATATATATATAT